CTAGCAGGCCGCATTCAGCCCCCAGACCGCATTTTGCCCACCCCTGGACTAGGCACTGTCTGGGGACTCTAGAGATCTGATTCTTCACTTCATGTTCCAGTCTACCTAGGGTTAACTCCCTCCTCTGCTACAAACTCCCAGAATGATCCTGGATTTAATCCCTCTGCACCTACATCCCCCATGTATCAAAGTGGGGTAGAAAGCCTCACTGTCTCCCAACCCTTTCAGCTGGTGAGCTCTTTGGGGTTGAGAACATCTCTCTCTATGAGGATGTTCAGTATCTGGCACATGATGCTAGCTCAGGGGCTCACTGTGCTCCTGCATTAGGAATCATATTATATGTATTTATGGGGAGGTCCAGAAGGAACAGGTCACAAGTGTAATCCACGCAGCTAAGGGTGCCTTCTAAGAGCAAATGGTATCTGCTTTTCTATAACTAAATTACTTGGCAACATAAAAGGTTGAGCAGAGACTTAGATGCTCAATTGTCCCCTTAAATGCTGCCTGCTCCTTCTGCTAGATCTGTTTCTAAACTGCCTCCTGTCTCGCACTCACAGTCTGGCTTGTTGACTGTTTAATCAAGGGTGACAGGATTTCTCAAGTGGATCTTTTCCATTAGGGGTGAAAGTTTCTTGTTCCCTTCCCAAAACATTAAGTGCATTAAATGCAAAATCTACCCAACAGGAAGGCTGTGGAGTTAAAAACCAAGGTGGAAAATGCAGAAGGGAGAAGCTTGGAGATCTATGAACGTGAGTACTGCATTTATACATGCTGGGATATTATGCCAGATTTTACCCAATGCACAGAGCCTCGGTGGCATTTAGAATTATAGAAAAATAGAGCTGGAAAGGGCCTCAGGAGCTCATCTGATCCAATCCCCTGCTTATGGCAGAATTGTCCCTGTCTAAACAATCTCATCCAAGCTTTTAACCACCCTTGTAGCTAGAAAGTTCTTCCTAAAATCCAACCTACATTTCCCTTGTTGCAATTTAACACTGTTACTTCTTGTCCTGTCCCTTGGGACAGAAATCTATGAATCTTGTCCTGTCCCCTGGGACCATGGAGAATAGCCTGGCCACCACTTACACAAATCGGGGCTGAGCAGCAAAATATCTTTGTGGATCTGTGCATGCTGAGCTCTTTGGAAAATGTGGCCTTAACTGTTCCAATCTGGAGCTGAGCGTTGCTACCAACAGGGCCTCAACAGTAATGCAAAATGGTAGCAGGGTTCTTCTGCTAACCTCTCACCAGGAAAGTGCAGAGGGAAATGCTGTTGTTCCTTCTGGTTTCCTTTGCTTTGGGTTCTAGGATTTGCTTGTTGTTTACTGTTATTCTAGCAGTGGTTTGGAACCCAAAATGTCATGGCAGGGCTATAAAGTAACCAAGCAGACCTCTGCGTGTCCCAGAGCACTTTCGGAAGCAAAGTCTATCTCCCCACTTCCATGTTGTAGCTAGGAAAAGGGAAGCACAGCAGAATTCCCCATGCCTGGAGGCCCCAACCCTGCACCCACCTGTTGCAGAAGGCAACAAACACATAGATAAAGTCAAATGCCCTTCTAAGGGACAATGTGCACTGGCAGGGTGATGGGCTAGGTAATGGAATAAGCCTTTTCCATCTTAAAGGCCTGTGAAGCCTTGATAGGCACCAGCAGGAAACCTCTCTGGGAGAAGCTCTGTGGAATGGATACTTCTTAGCACCTCCCCAGAGGAACAGAGCATCAGTTTGCTCACAGCCCCCGAATCAGGAACACCTCCCAGTTACCTCCCAGCTATTAATTCACAGCCAGAGAACTGTGCTGACAGCACTATCCCTGTGGAGCAAGAGAACCACCCAGGGGTAGCAGGGGTATCCAGGCTCCCCATACGCTTCCGTCCTCCCTTCCTTAAAGGTGACCTCTGAAAATCTCCTCACAGGGGTCTCCCAGCTGGAGGGACATGCAACAGGCAGATCACCCAGAAGTGCCCCAGCAGAGTCACTTTGACAGAAGGACCCCCATTTTGCATGATCCACTCTGGCTCAGGGCCAGGTGTTCAAGTGCTCAGCACCCACCTGCCCCCTGACTGTGGAGCTCTCTTGAAAATCTAGTTCCTAAAGTTACATCTATAACAGCAGTGACAAGCTCCTCAGGACCTCAGGTTGAGCACCACTTGTCTACACCACTTCAGTCACACTCCTTAAAGCATGCCCCACCCACCTGTGCCTGCTTGCCCGCATCAAATACAGGAGCAAGAAGATGAAGCTGCTCTGGGATCACTTCTGTCTGTGGTGTGCTCCAGAGCAGCAGCTGGGGGAGGGGAGGAGAGGGGACTCAGGGAAGCTTCACCTACTCATTTCTGGGTTTGGTGCTCTGTGGGCCACGTGGACAGTGCCAGGCTTTTTGGCAGTGCCCAAGAATACCAAGGAGGCTGTAGAGACATGCCCTACGTATATGAGAACCTTGGGACCGGTTCTTTGTAATGGCAAAGACCTTCTAAAATAGACAAACCATATTACTATTATTGTTGTTGCTGCTGTTATTGATATTATTTATTGTTGTTGTTATCACCATATTTGGCAATCATGGATTGTAGTGCTGTGTTGCAATATTATTATTGTATCATAGCAGTATAATCCACTATTGACAAATGATAATGATGATAATGTGGCGAGTGGGGAGCAAAACATTTTAGCAAATGGCAACCATATCCACAGTCCAGTCACTCACAAACACCTTCAGGCTTCCCATCCACCCTTCTCACTGAGCCTCATACTCCCCATCCCCCTCAACTCTATACAAAGAATTTAAACCAAGCAAGAAACAGTTGGCGCTGAATATGAATAGATGGTGGAACTCACTACCACAGGATGCCCCACATGCGTAAGAGCTTAGCAAGGTCCAAGGCTGGGCACAGTATGTTCCTGGCTCATGAGAACATCTGGACTAGTAACAGTTAATGTCAGTGCGTTCTTGGAAAGGATGTAAGACCACATACTTCAGGTTTAAAACCAGTCTCTAACTATTAGGGCCTATCCCACAGAGCAGACTGTCCCACTGCAGGTGCTGTAGGGATCTAACACTTTCCTTTGAAGCATCTGTCATCAACAACTGCCAGAGGCAGGTAGGGCCAGGTGGATCATGGGGATGATTCCAATTGAAGAATCCTATGTCTCTTCTTGAAATACACTCAACTGGCTCTTTTCCTAAAGCAGAGCAAAACCTCCAGCTTCTCCAGATGTTTCAATACCTCCACAACTCCCTGATATAACCTGGATGTTGTCCTAACCTCCATCTGCTGGACACTGCCCCTGAGTGAAGGTCCAGGGGTGGCACTTTGGCTGCACTCTCCAGGCTCACCAGAGCTCTGCTAAAATACACAGGCCTTCATACTCCCAAGCATTGTACCTGGCATGAAGCTGGGTGTGCATCAGAGCTCCCTGGACTAGTCTCCTCAGATGGAAGAGTCTCTCAGCACGTGTTTAATGCCCAAAGCTAACAGCTCTGGGTGTTTATAGAGCAGATGACCTTTTGTCTGTCTACCCAGCTGGAGAAATGCCTATGGTAAGGAGCTGCCAGAAAAAACTGGGAGAAAAAAGAAAGAACTGGAAAGGAAAAGTTGTGCATGGAGGATTCATATGGTTACCCTGAGAACTGACAGGGAGAGATCATGAAAAACTAGGAGGCAGCGGCTACTTATCAGGTTCGGAGTGGGGCAGGGAAACACAGAGCCATTACAAGGAGGACTGATGACATGTCTCAAGGCCCCTCTGTTGGGCTGCCTGTGCAGATTTGTTTCTGCAGCATGCCCCACTGGAGCAGAGTCAGGAAAAGCTGACCCAAATGTACCTTGGTTTAGATCTCAGCAGGAGCAGGGCAGCAGAGTTCTGTTAGAACACAGGAGAGGAAAAGGAGGAAAGAAACCTGCTGGACAGAGGTCAGGCATGTCAGCAGCAAGATTTGGTGGGGAATGGTCAGAGCCAATATGGTGACTGCTACACTCCTAGGAGGACCTGCTGTGCTCTAGGACACATGTGGTAGCAGACTAGGTAGCATCAGGTAGGAAGACAGCTCAGTTCTGAGACAACTTTGATATCAGCAGGTTAGCCTTGGTTCTTTCCCAGGCTTCCTTGGAAGGTAGCAGGAGTCAGCCCTCCTTACAGGGAGAGATGAGCATAGAGTTTGAATCCACACCCAGGATCTAAGTAGGTGCTTAGGACATCTTTACATGTGCTCTGGGGTGGGGGGACATTTTAATTGAAGTGCTTCTCTGGAGCTGCTCTAATTAAAGTGCCCACAGTGTCTGGTGTATTCAGCATCCCATGCTTCAAAATGGCAGCAGGGGAGCTTGTTCAATGAGCTTTAGTTAAAGCGCTCCCACTGCCATTTTGAAGCACGGGAGCACTGAATACATGTGACGTGGAGGCTGCTGGAGCACATTAATTAGCACGCTCCAGCAGACTCAATTAAGTCTGCTCCAACGCATTCTAATTAGAACATTGGGCACGTGAATAAGTGACAGAGGAGCACAAACCCTCCCAGTGCTCCTAAGTCATATGAGTGTGTGCTGTAGAAAATCTAATCTGTAAGTACACAAATGCAGACAAAGCAGCTTTGCTTCCAGTTCACCTTTTTGCTCATTTCCCCTTACATTTCTCTTGTATTTTGTCCATTTACGGCACCATTAAAATGCTAGGCCTTCTTGACAAGGGGCTTCCAAGTCTCAGGATGATTACGTGGGGAATGCAGTGGGGTGGGTACCAGAGGGAAGCAACAGAGTTCAGAGGGCTGGAAATGGGGCAGGCAGGTGGCCATGGGGTTCCAGCTGCTGCCCCACTGCGTGAGAAATTGAGAATGACTTTATGGCTGGCTTTATTGATGTTGCATCCTGTAGGTGCTAGCGTATATATGCACCCACCCCAGAGCAGAAGTGAGTGGTCCTGCAGTGGGTACGAGGGATGGACTTTGCTGAATGAGGCAAGGCACCCAGGGAAGAAGCCATGTCCATAAAGAGACATCACTTACCCTTGTTCCTCCATCATCTCCTGTAGCTCCATGCACTTCAGCTCCACCCGCCGCTTGCGCTCATGGTCCAGGATTTCCCGATGAGCTTTCTTTACCAAGCTAGGCTCCACCAGCCGCAGCTCCTCCTCGGGCTTGTGCCAGGTGCCGGAGGCCCCAGGCTGAGAGAAGCCATTTGATGCTTCCTGGGGGGAAGGCATCTTGGCCCCGTTGTTGTACAGGGACATCCCAGTGTGCGTGTGCGTCACCCTCAGACTCAGCAGCTCCTGCAAGGGATGGAAACACATACATGGTAAGTCAATCCCAGCCTGCCCATTCCCAACCAGGACAGGAAAAAAATAGAGCCAAGCAGTAAGCTGCTCCGCTAAATTAATACTGACAGCTTAATGGGGACGAGCTGTTCTAATCTGCTTCTCAGGACGTCAGGGATGCGTGCTGGCAGCCAGGCACCATTAACTCATCTTCCAGTGCAGAGAGGAGCTGAGTCTACTCCAGGAAGGGTCCTGGCAACATGCTTGTATAGGCCATTGCACGGTGCAGTCTAAGTAGAGATCCACTGTGCCACAGCAGTGAAAAAGCATCATTTGATGGGGGCTCCCAAGCTATCAGCTTTTCATTCCTCAGCAACCCACAGTTTGGTCCAGCAGAGGTGGCTTTGCTGTCTCTGGGATACTAGAGGGATGGTGTAGAAAAGGTACTACAAAGCTTTGTAGCTGGTCATGTCTATCCAGCCTATCCCAGCTCAAACATGATCATTCTCCAAGGAAGTGCTGGGCCCTGACAGTCAAGCTAGGGTCTGTTCCTTCTTATGCCTGACTCCCAACTGTGACAGCTCTGTGCCCACAGGGACAGCTGCATGTTCGCCACAGGCTGAAGTTTCACAGACAAGTCTGTGGAGTGTGCAAGAGGAGGAACAGACTCTCTCAGGCCTTGTGGGTCCCCAGTGAGCAGATTAGCCTCTTTCACAAAAGGAAGCAAATCTATGGAACCTTGAGCTTCCATATCACTTTTCCGAGGAGAGCTGAATTTTAACCAGCATGACAGAGTGCTATTTAATGGAAATTCAGGAGTTTGCCAGAGTTGGCTATACAGAGTAAGAGGAATCCCAGAGGTGCTTTGTTCATGTGTGTTCTGTCATACCTGGCTGAACTGCACCCCAGTGTGGAAGCCTGTGTCATAAGTGAATCTCCTACACATGCCTACTGCTGGAACATCTGCATGGGATAGGTACCACCAATGCCATCTCTACTAAGGAAGAACAAACTTCCCTAAGGAAGAGGAGTCACCAACAGCTACCACCAGCATTGAGACATCCCAACTTGTGGACAAATATGGGCTGACCACCTTAGAAGCAACTACTTCACAGGGATCTGAGATGGTCCTTACTAGCACAGAAGCCTCTCTTCTTTATTTGTTATCACAGAAAGACTCTCCTGTTGAGCTAAACTCACTGCAAAGGGGGATTCACTTCCAGACAAACAAGGGGCTAAGACCATCTCTGGTGCAAGTCCCTCGTGTTACACCAAAAATAACGTGGCTCCCAATTAAATTGCTTTTGTCCAGTCCTTTCTCTTCTCCTGTCATTTACTAGAAACTGTGTTAATGCTCTGCATTTCTATGCTGCCTTCCAAGAAAGACCCAGCCAGTAGTCAAGTCCCAGCCCTGCTGACATGGGCTTGATGGCAGCAGACAGCTCAAAGCACATGGCCTGTAGTGGGGGGAGCGCTGGAATTTTGGCTAGGGAGCCACGGGCTGTGGACTCTCCAAGCTTGTGCAGTGCAGAGAGGCTGTTGGTGCATCAGGGCTCAGCTGAAAGACACCTGTACAATGAGATTAGACTAATTTGTTCAGAAGGGCTGATCTGACTCTTCCTGGGCTCCTAGGCCATCTTTCTAAGGCAAACCAGTGCTTCTATGTGTAGCCAGTTCTAATAGCGTGATGCCTTGTGTTCCATACAGAGGTTGATGAACCCACTTGTCCTGACAAGGTGTGTGGTGAGAGAGCAGTGCAGACTTTTGGCTACAATTGCAAATCTGTGAGTTCAAGCCCTGCACTCAGGCCAAAGAGTGCTTCATAGTTGTAAAGCGAGCCACTACAGCTGGGCAGGCAAAGGCAGCTGGATGTGATGCCAGATATGTTGCTCCCTTGTGTGCAGCTGGTTACAGAAATTGGTGCGGCCCTAACCATGGTATCCTGATGGACTGTTTGGTTTGGAAGGACCTTTGACATGACTCCCTGTGAGCTAAGAGTCATTCAGCATGTGCAGTAGAAGCTCATCCCTAGGTCCTGCTTCAAGGCAGCCCTTGAGCTGACCCTTCTTTTGGTCTCTGACTCTGACAGACACAGGATCAGGCCTTCTGCAGTAGCTTCTGCTCAATTCTGTTTCCCACCCATGTGACATCTCAGTAGAGAATGGATCTCACGGTGCTGCTGAACTCTATAATCTTCTATAATCAAGATGGGATCAGAGGAGGGCCAAACCGAAGTACTGTGGGTCAGAGGAAAAGGGACCTGGTAGTGGAGGTCTAGTATAGACCACCACAACAGGAAGATGAGCTAGACCTGGAATTCTCCAGACAGCTCTCAGAGGCTGTACAGTCTAGGGACGTGGTTGTCATGGGTGACCTAAACTACCCAGACATCTGCTGGGAGGAGCAGCCAGCCAAATATAACTGCGCACATAGGTACTTAACCTACATACAGGACCTACACCTAACGCAGGAGGTATATGATCCCACTAGGGGGAATGCCTTGCTGGACTTAGTGTTAGCTACAGGGGCTGACCTGGTGGGGAATCTGCAGGTACAAGGTAACCTAAGGAATAGTGACCATTGATTGATTGAATTCACTATCCAACGAAGGGTGGGAAAACTAACCAGCAGGGCTGAAGTGCTAGTTCAGAAAGGCTAACTTCAATGTGCTCAGGAGATTAGTTAGTGAGGCGTTAAAGTTCAAGAGCATTGGCAAAATGGGGGTCCAGGAAGGGTGGTCATTCCTCAAGGGAGCAATCCTATGGGCGCAGAAGGAGACAATCCCATTGCGCATAAAAGGGGGCAAAGGGGCCAAGAAACCCTCTTGGCTGAACAGGGAAATCCAGGAAAGTCTAAGGGCAAAGAAAGAAGTATACAGGCTGTGGAAACAGTGGGTAGCTACCAAGAAGGAGTATACCTCCCTGGCTTGCACTTGCAGGGAATCAGTTAGGAAGGCCAAAGCAGGATTAGAACTTAGGCTGGTGACAAAAATTAAGGGCAACAAAAAGTCCTTCTTCAGGTACATAGGGAGCAAAAGGAAAGCACAGGATAGCATAGGACCCCTACAGGACAAAGATGGGCAATTGGTGACAGAGAGAGGGGACAAAGCTGAGCTCTTCAATGAGTTCTTTGCATCTGTATTCCTAGACACAGACCAACATAAGCCTCCCAATTGGATCACAGATAGACACAGGAGGGACACCAGTCCACCAACTATTAGAGCAGACTTAGTGAAGAGGCACTTGAGGGGCTGGATGTGTTCAAATCAGCGGGCCCAGATGAACTTCATCCAAGGGTGCTGAAGGAATTGGCCAGTGTCATAGCAGAGCCGCTGGCATGGCTGTTCAAGCACTCATGGTGCTCCGGTCAGGTCCCAGAGGACTGGAAAAGGGCCAGTGTGGTCCCTATTTTCAAGATGGGGAGGAGGGATGAACCAGGAAACTATAGGCCAGTTAGTTTCACCTCTATCATTGGGAAAACTCTGGAAAAAATCATTAAGGATCACATTTGTGGGAGCTCAGCAGGGGAAATAATGCTGAAAGGAAATCAGCACAGGTTCACTGCAGGTAGATCCTGCCTGACTAACCTTGTTTCTTTTTATGACCAGGTCACAAAATGCTTAGATGCAGGAGTCGAGGTAGATGTCATCTACCTAGACTTTAAGAAGGCCTTTGATACGGTATCGCATTCTTTTCTCGTAAATAAACTGACAGGCTATGATGTAGATGATTACACGGTCAGGTGGGTGGCAAATTGGCTTAGGGGTCACACCCAGAGAGTGGTGGGGGACAGCACCCTGTCCAAGTTCGCAGATGATACCAAATTATGGGGCAAAGTTAACACACTAGAGGGTAGGGAATGGATCCAGGTGGATCTGGACAGGTTGGAAAAATGGGCAGAACGAAATACAATGCATTTCAACAAAGACAAGTGCAAAGTGCTGCACCTGGGCAAAAAGAACCACCAACATACTTACAGGCTGGGGGATGACCTTCTCAGCAGCACAGCAGTGGAAAGGGATCTTGGAGTCATAGTTAACTCCAAGATGAACATGACTTGTCATTGTGACGAAATGATCGACAAGGCTAACCACACTTTATCATGCATTAGCAGATGCATGATGAACAGGTCCAGGGAGGTGATGCTTCCCCTCTATGCAGCACTGGTCAGGCTGCAGTTGGAATACTGTTTCCAGTTTCAGGCGCTGCACTTCAAGAGGGATGTGGATAACCTTGAGAGGGTTTAGAGGAGGGCCACTCCCATGGTCAGAGGCCTGCAGGCAAGGCCCTACAAGGAGAGACTGAAGGACCTAGATCTCTTCAGCCTTCTCAAGAGAAGGCTGAGACAGGATCTTGTGGCTGCCTATAAATTCATCGGGGGAGGGCAGCAGGGAATAGGAGATGCTCTATTTACTGGGGCACCCACTGAAGTAACTAGGAACAATGTCCACAAATTTAATGGAGAGCAGATTTAGGTTGGACATTAGGAAGAACTTCTTCACAGTAAGGGTTGCCAGAATCTGGAATGGGCTTCCAAGGGAGGTGGTGCTCTCCCCTACCTTGGGGGTCTTCAAGAGGAGACTGGACAAGCAACTAGCTGGGGTCATCTGACCCTAGCCCTCTTTCCTGCCCAGGGCCGGGGTCGGACTCAGTGACCTACTGAGGCCCCTTTCAACCCCATTATCTATGAATCTATGAACTGAGGCCCCTCATTATATTCCCCATCTGTAGCAAAGCACTGGCTGTGCTTGGGGCCTGTTTTGGAAGTGAATTATTTGACTGAACACAAATTCACAGCCTGCGTTTTGATCAAGTCTGAGAGGTTCTCTTGGCGCTACACTGAATCCCCACTACAGGACAATTTCAGCTAAGCTGCCCAGCTAATGCTAAACAGCTGGATGTGTTGGAAGCAAAGTCATGGCTATCGGCAAGGGGAGATGCTGATTAGGTACTGATTGCTAAATAGCAGGTGCAAAA